CAAAGAGGGTCATTATATAACCAAGAGGATTTAACAATTGTAAATACACAAGTACCATCTGTTGAAGAGACTGCCTTTCAGTTAATGGGTATTCTTGGTCCCTAATCAAACATTAGGTGACTGTGACTTCCAGCCAAGATAGAAGCATAGGTAGACATGCTTCACTTCCTCGCACAACCATAAGAAGGATAACAACCAATCTAAAAACATAATCAACCAGAACTGCCAGAAAATTGAGCTATATGGAAGTCTGACAACCAAGGATTTAAAGAAGAAACATTCATCCTCACAGGTAGGAGGCGTGGAGATGGGGAGCCGGGGCAGAGAGAACATGGTGTGGTGGTGGCAAGGCAACGGAGGCGAGGCGGTGGTGGGGAGGCAGTAGTGGCGGCAGATGGTGGAAAAGATGGTCCCACATTCATATGCAGCAGATAAAAACCAGGAGGGACAATTGGGGAGCAAGTGATCCCAGCCCCAGGCCAAATTGTGCAGCCCAAGTTTCCAGCACCAGCAAATAAAGCCTTATAACTTCTGACTATAAAAAACCAGTAGGGATTGGGGCAGCAGAAGAAACTGCCAGTCTCTCAAAAGAGTCTGTTTAAAAGCTCACAGGGCCCTAGAACATACACAAACCATCCACTCTGGGAAACAGCACCAGGGCAGCAGCTAGAAGGGTGCCAGTCACTTGTGGGAAGTGGGGAAAATGACTGGAAATGGGGCAAGAGGCGATCAAGTGGCATTGCTCTCTCTCTGACCTCTCCCCCACAAACAGTGCCACAAAGCAGCAAAGCAGGTTGCCCTGCCCTGGCGAATAACTAAGGCTCTACCCTTTACAATGTAACAGGTGCGCCAACATGGGGAGTCAAAGCAGCTCTCTAAAATACACAGAAACACAGGGAGGCTGTCAAATTGAGGAGATGAGGAAATATCACCCAAATGAAAGAACAGAACAAAACCACAGGAAAAGAGCTAAGCAACACGGAGATAGCCAACCTGTCAGATGCAAAGTTCAAAACACTGGTGATCAGGATGCTCAGAGAAATGATTGAGTACAGCTACAAAATAAAGGAAGAAGTGAAGGCTATACAAAGTGAAATAAAGAAAAATACAGGGAACCAACAGCGAAGTGAAGGAAGCTAGTATTCGAATCAAAGATTTGGAACAAAAGGAAGAAATAAACATTCAACTGGAACAGAAAGATGAAACAAGAATTCAAAAAAATGAGAAGAGACTTAGGAACCTCTGGGACAACTTTTAACATACCAACATCTGAATCATAGGGGTGACAGATGGAGAAGAGGAAGAGCAAGAAACTGAAAACTTACTTGAAAAACTAATGAAAGAAAACTTCCTTAATTTGGTGAAGGAAATTCAGACAGTCCCAAACAAGTTGGACCCAGAAAGGGCCACACCAAGACACATCATAATTAAAAAGCCAACAGTTAAAGATAAAGAGAGAATCTTAAAAGCAGCAAGAGAAAAGGAGAGAGTTACAAAAGAGTTTCCATAAGACTGTCAGCTGATTTCGCAAAAGGAATCAGACAAGAACCGACCAGCAAGAAGTATTCAAAGTGATAGAAAGCAAGGACCTCCACCCAAGATTACTCTATCCAGCAAAACTATCATTTAGAATGGAAGGGCAAATAAAGTGCTTCCCAGATAAGATAAAGTTAAAGGAGTTCATCATCACCAAGCCCTTATTATATGAAATGTTAAAGGGACCTATCTAGGAAAAAGATCAAAACTAGGAACAGTAAAATGGCAATAAATTCACAACTATGAACAATTGAATCTAAAAAAACAAACTAAGGAAACAAGCAGAACAGGAACAGAATCACAGAAAGGGAGATCACCTGGAGTATTACCAGTGGGGTTGGGGACAGGGAGAATGGGAGAAAAGGTACAGGGAATAAGAAGCATAATTGGCAAGTACAAAATAGACAGGTGGAGGTTAAGAATAGTATAGGAAATGGAGAAGTCAAAAAACTTCTATGTATGACCCCTGGACATGAACTAAGGCGGGGATTGCTGGAAGGACTGGGGATACCAGGCAGAGGGAGACGAAGGGGAAAAATGGGTCAAGTGTAATAGCCTAATCAATAAAATATACTTAATAAAAATATTAGGTGACTGTAAATACATACAATTATTACTTGGTTCTTGATTTAGCCCATTGGTCTGTGTATCAGTTTTTATTCCAGTACCATACTGTTTGATTAATATTGCATTGTAGTGTAGTTTTTTTGTTTGTTTTTAAATTTTTTATTGTTGTTCGATTACAGGTGTCCCCATTTTTCCCCCATTACTCTCCCCTGCCCTACCCACTCCCACCTTCCACATTCAATCCTCCTTCCTGTTGGCTTTGTCCATGGGTCCTTTATACATGTTCCTTGATTTGACCCTTCCCCTTCTTTCCCCTGTTATTCCGCTCCCTTCTGGTCACTGTCAGTTTGTTCTTTATTTCCATGTTTTAAATCAGAAAGTGTAATGCCTCCAGGTTTGTTCTTCTCTCTTAGGATTGATTTAGCTCTTTGGATTCTTTTGTTTTTCTCTATGAATTTTCAATAGTTTTTTTCTATTTCTGTGAAAAATGCTTTTGGAGTTTTGATAGAGATTGCATTGAATATACAAATCATTTTGGTAATTATAAACATTATAATAAACCTAATAATATTAATTCTTATAATTTATGAACATCAGATCTTTTCATGTGTTTGTATTTTCTTCAGTTTCACCAAAATCTTATCGTTTTAGTACATAGACCTTTCACCTCCTTTGTTAAGTTTATTCTTGTGTTTAATACTTTTGCTATTGTAAATGAGATTGATTTCTTTATTTCTACTTCAGATAATTTGTTGTGAGTGTATAGAAAAACAATATTTTGTATGCTTGTGTGTATTGTACAACTTTACTAAATTTGTTGATTAATTCTAACAGTTTATTGGTGAAATCTTTAGGATATTCTATATATAAGATTATGTCATCTGCAAACAGATAATTTTCCACTTTATATTCCTATTTGCATGCTTTTTTTTCTTTTTATTGCCTTATTGCTCTGGCTATGACATCTGTACTATAAGAAATAAGAGTTGTGAGAGTGTCCGCACTTGTCTTGTTCTTGATCTTAAGGGCAAAACTTTGAATCTTTCACCATCGACTATGATTTTAGCTGTGGGCTTGTTATATATACTGAGGCATATTCTATATGTTGAAGTATATTCTAGCATGTATTTTTGTACATATTAAAAAACCCTATTCTAACATTTATATGGAAAAGATAAAGGAGCTAAAACAATTATGAAAAACAAAACTAAATTTGGAACAATCACATTACCCAATTTTAAGACTTACCATACGGTGAAAATAATCAAGAGTGTGTAATATTGGTGGAGGATGAGATATATAGCTTAAGGAAACAATAGAAAATTAAGAAATAGATCCACACTGATATTTTTACAAAGCAGACTGATACTTTTACAAAGGTGCAAAATTCAATAAAGAAAGACTGGTTTGTGAACAAATGATGTTGGTACAATTGGAATCCATCTATAAACAAAAATAAAGTAATGTTGGTCTAAATCTCACACATCCTATATAAAAATTAACTTAAAACTGGTCATATATCCAATTTAAAATCTATAAAAATGTTTAGATGAAACATACAAAATCTTCAGGATCTTGGGCTTGGTAAAATGTTCTTAGATATGCCACTAAAAGAATGACCCAAAAAGTAAACAAATTCAACATGTTGACCTTCATTAAAAATGAAAACTTTCCTTTATAGAAGACCTTGTTAAGAGAATAAAAAGACCAACCACAGACTGGGTGAAAATACTTGCAAGCCACATATCCAAAAAGGACTTTCATTTCTGTAAAGAAGTCTCCAAAGTCAACAGTAAGAAAACAAAGAACCCAATTAGAAAATTGGCAAAGGACATATACAATTCACTGAAGAGCATAGAAAAAGATATTCAATATCATTAGCCTTTAGAAAAATGTGATTTGGAACTACAATGAAATACCATACATACCTATTAGAATGTATATCATTAAAAAAATACTGACAATAAGTGCTGACTAGGATCAAGAACTGGATCTCTCATTATTGCTGTTAAGAATGGTAAGTGGTACAACTACTCTGAAAAACACTGACAGTTTTTATATAAAACCAAATATTTACTTACTGTATAACCTAGATATTCCACTCTGGTATCTACTAAAGAAAAATCAAAACATGTCTGTCCACACAAAAACTTGTACATTAATTTTCATAGCAATTGTATTTTTAATATCCCAAAGATGGAAACAATATCCTTCAGTGGGTAAATAAATTTAAAAAAACTGTGGTACATCTGTAAAATGGAGTAGTACTGAGCAATAAAAATGAACCTATACTTTTGACACGCACAATGACTTGCCTAGGTCTCAAGGACATTATGCTAATTTTAAAAAGCCAATCTACAAAGGTAACATGTACATAATATCCTCAAAATAACAGAATTATAGAAATGGAGAACAACATATAGGAATGAGAGGAATTGTTAAGATGTAGCACAAAGATATTGTTGTTGTTGTTGGTCATGGAATAATTTTGAGTCTTGATTTTGGTAGTGGTTATACAAATATATACATATTATAAAATGTCATAGAATTATACATATGCACAGATTAGTGCATGTAAAAATTTTCAGAACTTAAATAAAGTCTTTAGTTAATAGTATTATACAAATGTCAGTTTTGTGTTTTTGATAATGTGCTATAGTTTTGAAAGATCTTATCATTGGGGAAAGCTGGGCAAAGGGTACACACAGATGTTCTATACTATTTTTATAACTTCTTGTGACTATAAAAATTTCAGAACAAAAAGTTTCAAAAAAAGACTTCCTCTTGAGATTTGCTGAAACACAATTGGCTAGCTCCATAAGGAAATCAATCAAAAAGAACTTATCTCATTTTTTTCATATATAACACACTTTGGAGAAAATCATCTTGTGACTTACCAAATTCAGACTTTCCAGGCTATTCATTCTCATGAATGTTGATCCACAATTAAGAAATAGGGTTCTGCTTGGTTTTGTTTGACATACAAATTGCTCTCTGGCTTTGGCAAATACAATTACAAATCCTTCAGAAGCCTCTGTGGTGGGGGGGGGCGGTAAAAAAAAGTGCTTATTCTGCAGCCATTGAACTGAATCTTCCATCAGAGCCAACTCTCAGGCAAGACGTTCAGGAAATCTGATGGTAAATCCAAACCAACCCTGTAGCCTGCAGAGATGCAGCAACGTTGCTCTAGTCTAAAGCCAGAAAAGTTAACCCCCTGATTGGCACTGCTCATTCTGTGGGCTGTTTCTAGGTTGTAGGCTATGTATGGAACATGTGCATTATACACTTCTGGTTAATAAGTAGTCATGGTGTATGAAGTCAGCAAACTTCCCTTTCCTTTACCCTTTATTGTCTTCCCTTTTCCTCCCATTGTCCTCTTTTCAATAACCTAGTACCTTCTGAAATGCCAGCCTTCCTTGTTTGAGAAAATCTAGCATCTGGCTGATAAATCAAACTCGTAAACTCATTGGCCGAATTGTCTGTAGCTTAGCCTTTACCACTCCCAGGAATATTTATAGTTCAAAAGATAGGAATTTAGAGAAACAGTAAGTAATTTCTGCTAATAGATTACTAATAGTTTCATTTCTGGTTGGAGGCAGACACACAGTTAAATCTAGGAGACATATAGGTTGGGGGTGCCTTCTCCCAGCCTTAAAATAAAACGCTAAGTTGTGGCTGATTTGTAAATCTAATTCGAGTAGTATGTTATCATTTACTACCCCCCAAAATTATCTGCAAGTATTATTTCCCAATCTAGAGCAATAATTTTGACCAAGTGGAAAACGGTCTCAAGCTGTAGTCAATAATTTCTCAGTCATTTAGGACAGTCACATTCGCAGCTGCAGTAAGCAAGCCCTCAGTAAAGCCAGCCAACAGCAAACCCTCCCTCCCCCTAGGACTCTACAATTCAGTAAATACATAGTTCAGTAAAGCTAGTCTTAGTAGAACGAGCTTTAGGTTAACCTTTGCTATTAGAGATACAGAGGTGATTAATTTCCTCCCTCTTCCAGCCCAGCCTCAGAAACTGGTTAAATAAAACCTCCTCCACAGTTAACTCCTAGGTGATTGAGGGACAGGGAGCAGATTGAGGTGAAAAAACTCAATCCAGAGTTTCCAAGTCTGCTGAGGAGGTCCTGTCTTCATATCCTTGCCAAAACACAATTTCAGGGGAAGATCAGTCCAAGGAAAACTGCTGACCTCAGCTCTTCTGGAGGTTCCCAAAGCTCTGCAGCTGCCTTGCCTGCCTGGGTTTCATACACTGTCCCAAGTCTCAGCCACTTTGGAACTGCTTCTTTGGAGGAAAAGCCCCGCCTATACTTGTGGTCAAGAAGATTAAGCAGAGCCACTTGGCAACCATAATATGCTGTTAGTGCCATCCTGTGAGTCATGCTCATGTAGAATACAGCTGTTAGTTACATTTTGTTTCTGGAAAATAAATCTAGTAGTAAAATAAAGTCTTTATCCTTATATTTCACTGTAAAAATCATTATTGAGTCATCTTTACTAAAAGGGAATTTTGTACCCCCAACTGTTTAATCCGGGAGAATTCAACGTATACAAAACACACTGAGGATATCAATATGAATAGATCTTACCGATATCTTGGATGACTTGCACTAACTTCTCTGGGATGTATATAATTTTTATATATTCTAAATAATCTTACCTACTTAGTAATCAAACTCCAAGTGTGAAATTACCAGACTTTTTAAAAGAGGCAACAGCTATTTTATTATTTCAAGGAAGGAAAATGGAAGAAATTCCTTCTAACAAAGACAGCACACACTTGGATCCACTTCTTAAAATATTTCCCATGTTCTCAAATTAAAAATACATCCAAAGAAATGTTTATCATAAATTGAGAATCTGCTCCTCTGAGATTTGACAGCTGTGCTAGATTCTTGGGCTTGATAAAATCCTTTTGTGCTATTTGAAGCTCTCAGGTCCCACCCCAGAACGCATGCATGGAAAATGTCCCAATCAAAGGAAACATGTCAAGTCTCAACTTAGGAAAAGATTTAGGCATTTAAATGTATTTACCCCTTGAATGCTGCTTAATTTGGTTGATAAAACCCTGGATTTAAATTTTTAATTTTTCCCCCTCCACTGCTGCACTAACAGAAATTTGTGTAATCAACCACTAGCCTAATTTTAACATCGATTTGTTAGGAGCAATGTTTAGTTTAAGTCTGGATTCCTGGTTTATGTCAATTGCATATTACATTGTAGAGAAAGGAGCTTTCCTTCTAGACAGCCACATTTCCTTATACAAAACATGCAGCAGTTTCAGTGAACAGTTTAACCGTTTAAACTTATAAATAGATATTACCTCACTGTAGTCTCCATTCTTCAAAACAATGCATCCTTTAAAAAGTAAGACATTAGCAGATTCAGGATTACATTTTCAGTGGAGGCAGCAGAAACTCACATTGTCGTTTTCAATTCAGAGAGATTTTTAAGTTCTATTTTTTAATGTATGAAGAGAAAGCCAAGAACCTTACCCTTTGTACCCAGATATCCGGTAGAGAACTGCAGGCTTGTACAGCTACAAGAGGAAATAACGTAGTTTATTGAGTAAAACAAAACAAAACAACCGTTTACCTCTAATGAGAAGTAGAACTGTTCGGCAGCATCATTCAGTTGTTTAGGAAAGCGTTCCCCTTGGAGGATACTGTGGGCAAAGAAAATTGAAATTTTGGCTTTGATAAATTCAGAGTTTCCATGAGTTGTACACTTCAATCAGGAACAGAGTATGTGACTTTAATTTGCCATGCATGACCATAGTTTTCTCAGTTTATTCTGAGAGTTTCAACTACAAAACCCCAGCCTAACTGTTGGGATTTTACTTTTTGTTTCAAAAGGAAATAAAAATAAGTTGTAGTATCTTTAAAATATAATGTCTTTAAAATGCTGATCATTCTAAAACAGAGAACATTAGATTGTTTTTTATTATTCCCCACTGTCTATCGAAGTGTTTGGTTCTTTACTATGATTTTCCTGCTTCACAGTCTTACAGAGGAATTCACATCTTTAAAAAAAAATTGTATTGAGTGTATTGGAGCGACATTGCTTAAAAAAATTATATAGGTTTCAGTTGTACAATTCTACAATACATCATCTGTATATTGTATTGTGTGTTTGTAACAGGGTGCAGCTAGGCGCCCCCAAAAGGGATTCGTAATGGGGTCCAGAACTTGGGATGTCCAAGAAAAATATAGGATATTCTCATCCGCCCCCCACCAAGGCAGGCTGCCATGGGAGATGGGAGACATGGAGCAGGGCCATTGAGAGTTACTTTGAATATCAAAACCAGACCCGCTTCATGCGGACACAGAGCAGGGCCATGGAGAGTCATTTTGCTTGTCAATAACAGCAGGATAACTTCATACTTAAAATGCAAACATGGTTATTTTGCATCACAATAAGGCTAACCAGGAAGGTTTGCATAACTTTAACCCAGGATGTAACTGGGAACGAAGTTATAGGACCTGTGTGAGATACAACAGGACACAGACACGGGAACAATGTAAAGACCACGCGGGAAGGAAAGAGGAGAGGGGACTCTTGTTCGTGGGCCAGGGGAAGGTGCCACGTGGTTTGAATTAAGAACTGGAGATGGCGATGACACAGCGGATGGTGCTGGGAACCGCGAGAGGCCTGCCTAGCTGAGCTCCAGACTCCTGGTCTTTTCCTTCCGAAGGACGGCACCCCTGGCTGGCCTGACTGGGCAAAGAGGGGGAGGCAGGACTGTGTGTGTTGGTGGGTGTTTTAAATGGTGGGGGCTTTAAAGGGATTTTGAGATTTAAGAGTGACATTTAGCCAGTATTCAAAACCTGTATAACTTTTGAATAAATAGTTCCTTTCCTTTTCACCCAACTCTGCCATTGAGAGCCATAGTTTTTAAGGGTGGTGGGAAAACGAACCTAGAACAGAGAGACCCCGGGGAAAGGGGGGCATTGTTCCAGTAGGTAGCATCTGGGGCTCCCTCCACAATGGGTCCACATTCGGTAACGTGTTCGCCACCAAAAGTCAAATCTTCTTCCTTCACCATTTACCCCGCTTTACCCTCCTCTACCTCCCCCCACCACCTTTCCTTCTAGTAATCACCATACTGTGGTCTGTGTCTATGAGGGTTTTTTTTGTTTGTTTAATCCCTTAATCTTTTTTCATTCAGCCCGCCAACCTTCCTCCTCTCTGACAGCTACCAGTCTGTTTTCTGTATTTATAAGTCAGTTTCTATTTCGTTTGTTCATTTTGTCCATTAGATTTCATATATAACTGAAATTACATGGTATTTGTCTTTCTCTGACTGGCTTATTTGACTTAGTATAATGCTCTCCGGGTCCATCCATGTTGTTGCAAAGGGTAAGATTTCCTTCTTTTTTTTTTCAGCCATGTAGGATTCCACTCTATAAATGGGCCACAAGCTTTCTTATCCACTCACCTACGGATGGGCGTTTGGGCTGCTTCCAAATCTCTGCTACTGTAAATAACTCTGCGGTGAATATAAGGATGATATATTCTTTAGAATCAGCGTTTCAGGTTCCTTTGAATATATTCCCAGGAATGGGGTCTCTGGGTCAAAAGGTAGTTAAATTTTTGAGGTAACTCCATACTGCTCTCCACAGTGGCTGCACCAATCTATTCCCACCAATAATGCAAAAGGCTTCCCTTTTCTCCACATCCTCGCCAGCACTTGTTGACTTATTGATGATAAATATCCATCCTGGCAGGTGTGAAGGGACATCTCATTGTGGTTTTCATTTGCATCCCTCTGATGATTAGTGGCATAGAGCATCTTTTCATATGCCTATGGCCATCTGTATGCCCTCTTTGGAGGACTGTCTACTCAGGTTCTTTGCTCATTTTTTAATTGGATTGTTTGACTTCCTGCTGTTGAGTTGTATATGTCTTTATAAATTTTGGAAATTAACCCCTTATCAGATGCATCATTGGCTAATATGTTATCCCCTACAATGGGGT